ATGAAATCCCTATTTCTCCTGAATAAAATGATATATAATAAGTGTGGGTGCACGTAAGGTGAATTACAGTTGCACAGACATATAGTCAAATTCCAAGTTTTGTTTACGTTTTATTTTTATCAAAATGTGTACATTTGGCTCAGTCCTTAAGGGTTTAAACTACAATGAATGTGTTTAGTAATCACTCTGTGGAAATAAGATACATTGTTCTTGTCCTAGATTACATTTTAGTAATGAAAACAATGCAAGGATTCGCACATGCCTTGGACGTGACAACATCCATAATTAGCTTCCCTTTGCAGTCGCTTTCTCTCCCCATCCTCTATAAATTAGATTGCTTTTTTTTTTTTTTATTACATTTTTTTTTTTTAAATCCCCTCCCTTGTCAGTTTAGAGCAGGGCTGTCCAACCTGCGGCTCCCCAGATGTTGCTGAACTACAACTCCCATGCTTCCCTGGCTATCCGTTTCATTGAAAGAATTGTGGGAGTTGTAGTTCAGCAACATCTGGGGGGCCGCCGGTTGTACAGCCCTGGTTTAAAGCATGCTCATGTGCCATGAGCCGGGAAAATGGTCCAATCAAAGGCTTCTCTGTGAGATCAGTGCCAGGCTAAGCTCCTAGCTCACAAGTCAGTTTTAAAGTATTTTTCTCCCTTTTTTAAGGGGGAGGATCCATGAATGCCCAAAAGGGCACTGCAAATCTAAAAAAGAGGTTTTAACAAAGAAAAATACAACTAATAATAAAACTGCTTTTCCAGAGAAGTATTGCTACTAACGTGTTAATCACCCAAGGTAATATTACAATAGACCCACCCACACTGGGATATTTTAGTTTACCCATATAGTTTAATGTCCATATAGTAGAGTAACCAAAGCCCTCTATTTTTGAGACAACTGATTTTAAGTTGGCTTGGAAGATTTGATAATGTGCATATTTGTCTGTTATTTATTTATTTAACGTGTAATTTTAATTTAAAAAATAAAGAAAAACAAGTGATAATTTTTAGACTGTAAAGGCCACAAGTCTGTCACTTCTGTTATCTTTTAAAACAGTTTAAAGTAAAAAACCAAATCAAAATGACGGACACATAGATTAGTTGTGAAAAGTGTTAAATTGGAACTGCCACTTCTGTGGAAATTGCATAATTGAATACAACACCGAATACAGATTTTATAATTTTGTTTACCTTTTTCATGTCATGCTCAGTTTTTTTTTTAACATGTATATTAACCCTTTCCCGAATAAGGGCGTGCTCTGCCATCCTACAAAATGATGGCTCCAACGCCGTAGGGCAGCATAGCACGTCCTAACAATCGGAAAGAAATAAATTATAGTAGAACAGACATATAGCTCAAATTCGAGGTTTTGTTTTGGTCAAAACTTGTACAATTGTCTCTGTCCTTAAAGGGACACTATAGTCACCAGAACAACTACAGCTTAATGTAGTTGTTCTGGTGAGTATAATAGCTGTCTTCAGGCATTTTCATGTAGACACTGTCTTTTCAGAGAAAAGGCAGTGTTTACATTGCCCCTACGGACACCTCCAAGTGCCCCTAGGGACACCTCCTCAGATGGCCATAGAGGGGCTTCCTGGCTCAGGGTTGCACAGTAGGCAGCCCTGCCGTTCAGCGTCCCCACGTTCTGCATGGGGACGCTGAATTTTCCTCATAGAGATGCATTGATTCAATGCATCTCTATGAGGAGGTCCTAAATGGCCAAAATTGCATTTGGCTCTGCCAATGTTACAGATTTTAGCCAATCCAATGCTTCCCCTATGGGTAAGTATTGGATTGGCGGAAAAATCGGCCATTTTGATGATGTCACAAAGGGGGCGGAGGCAGCACCGGCAGACCCACGCGGTGCTGGAAATAGAGTGTTTTATACTTTTATAGGGGCGCTAAGAGAGGGGCAAGCCACCTAAATGGTGGTTTTAATACTATAGGGTCAGGAACACATGTTTGTGTTCCTGACCCTATAGTGATCCTTTAAGCGATTAATGATTCAACAAATTACATCACAATCCAGTTTAGTCCATGCAAAGCCAGGACAAACATCGCAAATGAATACAGTCTGTTTAATTTATAATTTCTTATCTCTTGCTCTGTTAGTAGCCTTCTAGAACCTGCAGCCCCCTGTGTGTGATTAAAGTTAGATTTACAGAGCAGGAGATAAAATCAAGCAAGTTAACATCTGATTAAAACATTTTTTCTCTCATGCAGGTTGTGTGAGTCACAGCCAAGGGGGTTGTGGCTAGGGCTGCATAAACAGAAACTATGATCGATATACTAAAACTGCTTCATTGAGCTAAAATGGTTTTGGTGCCTATGGTGTCCCTGTAGGCAAATGGAACTCAGACATTGGTTTATTTCTCCAGCAGAAAGTAATTTTTATTGCACAAAAAATATTAAAGCACTAAATAGCAAGCAGGGCTAAAGTAAAGAGTGAGCCAGAATTTAAAGGGACACTCCACTGTCCAAATCCAAAATAAATAAAAATCAATGTTTAGTAGATATACCCCAAATTAAAACTGCATTTATTTAAAGCATGCATTTTTTTAATTGAGGGTACATCTAAAAACAGCTTGCAAAACACACAGTTCTTAAAATGTGCAGCCTACTTTGTGATGCTAATCAGACGGATAGTTTTCCTTTTTTTATAATGGATGTTATCTTTCTGCATGCATATTACACTATTTGCTACTAGCTAATATCCTGTTAATTTGTCAGTATCTATGAATGTTTCACTGATAACAAATAAAATATAAACAAAATTTCAATAAATGAATAAATAAACCTGCCATTCTCTTGCCTGCTGCCTTTGCAAGTCTTCCCCTTCATTCCCAGCCCAGACGTTGGTGCCAGGAATAGCCGCAGTGTTGTTGTACAGTAAGATGTCAAATAGTTCTAACACACTTTGACAACTTACCCGAGTCTTGCCGTGTGCGGCTCTTCTTCATCAGAAGACGCAAGATGAATGCAAAACAGGGCTGATGCTGGGCTGCAGTCATTGGCTGAGAGCCAATTGTTTATGGATCGGTTCTGTTCTAAAGTGATATCTGGATTCTCCTGCTTTAGAAAACTGGATGTGACACAGGCACCCGGTGGGACTCGGGTAATTTGTCAAACCAAGCTAAAGTCAGTTTTAGATATAACTGTGGGACAGTGCCTGGCACCATAACCACTACATCAGTTTATAGTTGTTATGGTTTATTCTACCTTTAGTATATGGCAGGATCCTTCAGCCATATACATATAACCTGTATACAAAAACAACAGTTAGTCTCTATGGTTTTCTCTGCTTCGCTCCCTACACAGAAAAAAGGGAAGGCCATAGAATCACTGTCTGACTCAAGGTGTAGATATATTCTGTCATATCCTCTATTTATGGATGAATCGTTCTCATTCGTGTATTTTCTTTTAATAAACGATGAAAGGATTATTATATTAAAAGTTTTGAGGTGACGATTGTCCTTTAAATGTTTGCAAAAGAACATTACTAAAGAAGTAAAGTCAGAGGACTCATGATAAAATGGTTCGAAAAAAATTACACTGGGACTGTGCCAGGACACTCCTGGCACCATAACCACAACCGTGGGAACTAATGGCTATGGTGCTTGGAAACGATCCTAATAATATAAAGCATTCTGTATTTTTACAACTGAAACATAACTTATGCATGCTCTGTCAAATCCAATGTCCAGTGGAAGAACTATAACATTTCCAATTCACAGTAAAACACACCCACAAATCACATACAGTATAGCTTGCTTGGGTCATACAGAAAAACATTTGCTTTGTGGTGTACTACAGTGGTTATTGCATGGCTAGGCTCAGTACAAAACCTGGCAGAAGGGGTGGCGGTAATTGGTGCCTGGTGGGACGCGGGTACGTTGCCAACTATTCTTCAACGGCTTGACTACTTACTCTGGGAGGGTGCCAGAGCGCTTCTTGCACCATAACCACTATAGCAGCCAGTAGTGGTTACGATGCTTTAAATGTTACATTTACCTTTGATTGGAACCAGATTGAATGTCCCCATTCTGCGGGCAACAAACTGTTTACTGTTAAACGCTTCCTCTAGCAAATGGAATGCCTTTTACAGTGGAAAGTGCCTAAACAAGTTTTTTGTTGTTGCAATTTAAAAAAAAAAATATTTATGATACTAGACATTCACTGAGTGACGGAGCTAATTTTTTAATTAAAGTATTGCTGGACAGACTTCTGCCCTGTACATAACTTGCAACACTGATTAAAAGCCACTTATGTACATAAATAATGTAAAACACTCACGGGAGGGGGCAAAGGCAAGGATGTAAGCACACATAGAGCATTCACAGGGCAGGGTGTAAGCACACATGGAGGGCACAGGGTGCATTCACAGGGCAGGGTGTAAGCACACATGGAGGGCACAGGGTGCATTCACAGGGCAGGGTGTAAGCACACATGGAGGGCACAGGGAGCATTCACAGGGCAGGGTGTAAGCACACATGGAGGGCACAGGGAGCATTCACAGGGCAGGGTGTAAGCACACATGGAGGGCACAGGGAGCATTCACAGGGCAGGGTGTAAGCACACATGGAGGGCACAGGGAGCATTCACAGGGCAGGGTGTAAGCACACATGGAGGGCACAGGGTGCATTCACAGGGCAGGGTGTAAGCACACATGGAGGGCACAGGGAGCATTCACAGGGCAGGGTGTAAGCACACATGGAGGGCACAGGGTGCATTCACTGTAGCCCTGCTTGCTATTTAGTGCTTTAATATTTTTTGTGCAATAAAAATTACTTTCTGCTGGAGAAATAAACCAATGTCTGAGTTCCATTTGCCTACAGGGACACCATAGGCACCAAAACAATTTTAGCTCAATGAAGCAGTGTAAGCACACATGGAGGGCACAGGGTGCATTCACAGGGCAGAGTGTAAGCACACATGGAGGGCACAGGGAGCATTCACAGGGCAGGGTGTAAGCACACATGGAGGGCACAGGGAGCATTCACAGGGCAGGGTGTAAGCACACATGGAGGGCACAGGGTGCATTCACAGGGCAGGGTGTAAGCACATATGGAGGGCACAGGGAGCTGAGCAGGGCAGAGTGTAAGCACACATGGAGGGCACAGGGAGCAAGCACAGGGCAGGGTGTAAGCACATGGGGGCACAGGGAGCATTCACAGGGCAGGGTGTAAGCACACATGGAGGGCACAGGGTGCATTCACAGGGCAGGGTGTAAGCACACATGGAGGGCACAGGGAGCTGATCAGGGCAGGGTGTACGCACATGGGGGCACAGGGAGCATTCACAGGGCAGGGTGTAAGCGCACATGGAGGGTACAGGGTGCATTCACAGGGCAGGGTGTAAGCACACATGGGGGGCACAGGGAGCATTCACAGGGCAGGGTGTAAGCACACATGGGGGGCACAGGGAGCATTCACAGGGCAGGGTGTAAGCACACATGGAGGGTACAGGGTGCATTCACAGGGCAGGGTGTAAGCACACATGGGGGGCACAGGGAGCATTCACAGGGCAGGGTGTAAGTACACATGGGGGGCACAGGGTGCATTCACAGGGCAGGGTGTAAGCACATGGGGGCACAGGGAGCAT